CTCCTCTACTGAGCAGTAGTCTGTACCACACAGCCTAGGTGTGTAGTGAGCTAGAATGTCATCAGGTTTGTATAGTGTTCTCTATGATATTCATATGACCTGGAACTAACCTAAGGAGGCACTTCTCACAAATGCCCATTGCTAAGCAGCAGCATTTAGGGGACTCCCAGAATCTGATTGGATTAGGGGTATGATTAAATGAGAAGACTCATATTTTAATTAGGTACATTCTTTCTGAATAAATCTGCAGATATACTGTAATGTCAATCAAAATCCCAACACCTTCCAAATCAAGCAGGTTTTTTCACAACTACTTATTAAACAGGCTGAGCCCTCATTATAATAGTGCAAGACAGAACCCTGGGTGGAGATTTAATATTCTAATGATACGTGACCCACGAAAAGGCAGGAAGTTCCACCGCACAAGCACTCGATACACTTAGACGTCTCAACTTCTATACACTTAGACGTCATCTTTCCCACCATAACCCCTTCAAAACCGTTCCCCAGCCTTTGTTCAGGGAGCAAACCATTTTCCCTTTTTCTGGGGACTAACTCCCTTGCATGCATGAGCTTTCTAATAAACCTCTCCTCTAAATACAATTTTTTGTGGTGAACTCCATTGATTTCCATCTTTGGAGATCCCTAGAACCCGGGACACTGATAATACTTATAAAATGATCCTTTTTGGCCCTGGCCAATTTGGCTCAGCGGTTAGAGCATTGGCCTGTGGTCCAGAGAGAGCTGGGTTCGGTTCCCGCTAAGGGCACGTACCTCGGTTGCAGTTTGTCCCCTGGATTGTACGGGAGGCAGCCACTCCACTCGATGTGTCCCTTTCGTTGATGTTTCTCTCTCTCTCTCCCTCCCGCCCTGTCTGAACAAAAAATGAAAAAATGTGCTCGGGTGAGGATAACAAAAAAAAGATCCTTTTTGCCGTGGCTGGTTTGGCTCAGTGGTTAGAACGTTGGCCCTCCGAGCAAAGGGTCATGGGTTTGATTCCCAGTTAAGGGCACATACCCGAGTTGCAGGTTGTGTGGGAGGCAACCAATCAATGTGTCTCTCTCACATCAATGTTTCTCTCTCTCCTTCCACTCTATCTAAAAATCAATGAAAAAGTATCTTTGGATGAATAATTTAAAAATTAACCAATTAATCAATTTAAAAAATAATAATCCTTTTCTTCATCAATTTCAATGGCCTTCACATAGGTGACATATGACATTCTAATGTCACCTATGAATGAGGTCAATTTCTTGGCTGCCTATTGCGCCCTTTTGTAGTTGTACAGTCTTGTGCCAAGTATTGTTTTAAAAACTATTTACTGACTGATAGAGCTACTTCTTTCCTCATCACTTTGTTTTTTCAAAAGATGTTTTTTCTCCCTGGCTGGTTTTGCTCAATGGTTACAGCATGGGTCCGCGGACTGGAGAGACCTGGGTTCGGTTCCCGCTAAGGGCAAGTACCTCGGTTGCAGTTTGTCTCCAGCCCTGGATGGGTCGTGCGGGTGGCAGCCACTCGATGTGTCCCTTTCACGTCGATGTTTCTCTCTCTCCTTCCCACTCTATCTGAACGAAAAATGGAAAGATGTCCTTGGGTGAGGATAAAAAAAAAAAAAGAACAGCATGTGCTTTTAACTAACTCAGATATATTTTACATTAAAATTATTCACATTAAAAAAACACAGACAGCCCTGGCCAGTTTGGCTCAGCGGTTGAAGTGTTGGCCTGTGGACCAGAGAGTCCCGGGTTTGGTTCCCACTAGGGGCACGTACCAAAAAAACAAAACAAAACACACACACACACACACACACACACACACACACACAAATGTTTTGAGGATCTGCCACAATACAAAATAACTGTGCTCTGGCTCCATTGCATCTAGCATTGATTCCTTTATCCCAATAGAGTAAAAACTGGACCCAGAAGGGTAGAGGAAACATGAAAACAGAGACAGGCCAAATAGTTTCATATGCGTGAGGCATATTATTCCTTATGAAATGTAACCTCCAGATGATACTTAAAAGCTACAAGTGTTGCTCTTGAGTTCTCTCTGCAAGTGAAAAACTTCAAAGTGTTTCCTAAATACTCAGTTCCATGTTAGTTTTGCCTGCTGTTGAGAGTTAAATCTCCACCTGGAATTTTCTATTTACTCCAGAAACTGGAGGAGGTGCTCTGGTTCTATGTAAATAATAACTTTTAGGAGCTGAATTGATACTGATACATTATTATTAACTAAAGTCCATACTTCATTCAGATTTCCTTGATTCTTGCCTAATGTCCTTTTTCTGGTCCAGGATTCCACCCCAGATGCCACCTTACATTTCATGGCCTTGTCTCCTTAGGCTCCTCTTAGCTGTGACAGTTTTTCAGAATATCCTTGATTTCATTGATGTTGACAGTTTTGAGGAGTGCTGGTATTTTGTAGAATGTCCTTCAAATGGGATCTGTCTAATGTTTTTCTAAAGATTAGACTGGGGGTTATGGGTTTAGGAGAGGAAGACCATAGAGGTAAAGTGTTATTTTTATTACATCACATTATTGGTATTATACTTGGTTGAATAGTGTCCCTCCAAAATTCATGTCTACACAGAATCTCAGAATGTGACCTTATTTGGAAATAGGGTCTCTGTAGGTGTGATGAAGTTAAGATGAGGTCATATGAATTATGGTATCCTTAAAAGAAGAGAAAATAGACACAGAAGCAGACACACAGGTGATGGTAGAGACAGAGATGGAATTTATGCTGCCACAAACCAAGGAATGAATGCCAAGGATCGCAGGCAACTACCAGAAGCTAGGAGAGAAAACATGGAGCAAATTTTCCCTCGGAACCTTCAAAAAGGAACTAACCCTGCCAACTCCTAGATTTCTGACGTCTGGCCTCCAGAACTGAGAGAGAAGAAACTTCTGGATTTTTTAAAACCATCACATTTGTGGTAATTTGTTACATCAGCACTAGGAAACTTACAGGTACATACTATCAGCATGATTTATCACCACTGATATTAACCTTGATCATACAGGTGAGGTAGTGTTTGCCAGGTTTCTCCTCTGTAAAGTTGCAATTTCTCCCTCTTTTAATACTGTCTCCTTTGGAAGGAAGTCACTGTACACAGTCCCTATAAGGAGAGTGTGTGTGTGGGGGGGAGAGGGGGGTTATGCTCCACATCACAAGAAGCATTTATTTGTTGCTACAAAGGACTGACATTTTTCTGTTGAAGAACTTGTATGCAGCAACTTTATTAAACCCCTTTATTAATTTTACTAGTTTTTTTTTCCCATTTGATTTCTTTGGATTGTCTTGAATTATTACAAGTAATAGTTACTGCAAGTAATGTTTTACTTCTTTCTTAATATTTGTATATTGCATTTCTGTTTTGTGTCTTATTACATTGTCGAAAACTCCAGAAGACTATTATAAAGAATAGCAGTGATTGATGAGCTCGTGCATATTCTAGGATTTTTGTCTGTAGATCCTCATTGCTTTGGGGAAACTCCTCCTCCTCCACTCCCCAGTAATTCTGGTGGCATTATTTCTGGTCATAGCACCCAGCCCTTTTTTACAGAGCCAAGTTCATGATCCAGGTCCCGCCAAGCTAAGACCCTGTTTCCCTGGTCAGGATTATTGTTCTAAAGACGGGCAAGAGAACTACATAGGGCCAAACAGTTGTCTCCCTGGGTTTGTTTGTAGCTAGAAGAGAAGTGGGGAGGGTCTTATTTTCTGACTTATAGGGTAGGAAATGTGGGAGAAGGAAAAAATTATCTGATTCTTTTTGGCTGCTTGAATAATTAAATCAACAGGAGACAGGGTAACAAGAGAGAATCAAATTTAATTTTGTGCACATGGGAACCCCACATACATGAGAGAGTCATAGACTCCATATAAATGAGAAGTGAGAGTTTTAGGGACAGAAAGGGGAAAATGAGGTATGTAGGGCATTCTGAGCTAAAGATGAGGTAAGGCACCTTGGGGCTTCAGAGGAAAGAAAGGTCATTGTAGGATGATAAGGAGAGCAGATGTTTAGTAATTGGTAGTTTGCCCACCATAGGTTCAAATATTATTTCTGATAATAACTCTTATTATGGGCAAGTCCCCTCATTTAAATTCTTCTAGGTAGTTGAGAAGGGGAGGCAGATGTTTCTCTTGAGCCCACAGAGACTTGGCTGCCTTCAGCACAAAATAAACCACATATCACAGAGACACATCTTGGGGGTGACTCATTCTGAACCCCCACACTGGGGCCACCCTCCCCCGAGCAGGAAAAGAGAACTGCCTTCAGAGAAAAAATAACACCAAGGAAAAATAAAAAACAGTGAGAAGTGGGCAGGGATGAGGGGAAGGGAGAACACTAATGACTGTTTTAAAATTCCTGAATCCAAACTTTCTAAAAATGTGACACAAAAATTTATGTCTTTTCTTTCTTTCTTTCTTTCTTTCTTTCTTTCTTTCTTTCTTTCTTTCTTTCTTTCTTTCTTTCTTTTGCTTAAGTTAGGTCATTTACAACAGAAGGAATTCTTACTACTACAGAATTCATTTTTGTCCTGATTAACTATAATTTTTAAGGCAATTTCTGTGTACCAGGCTGAGGGCACGTGGTCCACCTATATACTCTTAAACCCCATCACAACCCAACATGTAGATATTAGTTTGAGTTTACAGATGAGAAAACTGAGGATCTAGGAGGCAAGCAAGTTGCGCATCCATGCCTTCCCGGGGGGAGCATGGCAGGGGTCCCCTAAATCCACGTTTGCTGATGCTCAGGGTCTCATGTTCCCCCCATCAGGCTGCCCGAGAACCAGCCAAGAAAACCAGCCAACCTAACCCGAAGGGTCCTACTTGGAAATGTGGGCTGCTTGTTTTATCCGGGCAGAGTCTACATCCTTTAATGGAAGGGCTGATGGGAGAAAGCAGTGCGCAAATTCCAGTCTCAGAGCTTGTACTAAAGGTGTTGCTGAGGGCAGTCTACCGAATGGCTACCAAAGCCAGAGGTGTCCGGAATGCGGGCGGGCGCCCAACCTGCGCGCCTGGCTGGTGCCAGCGGGGTGGGAACTCCGGCACCGTCTCAGACCCTGACACGTCCCCACCCCACGCCCCTCACACGCCCAGGCTCAGAGCCGGGCACAGACCCGGCTTCCGAGGCTCGGAGGACTCAGTCCCCGCAACTCTTTCCATCTGTTTCCAGAGCTTTTCCAAACGTTGCCTTCCAAATCTAGGCGTGCGTGCGCCCTTGCAGAACCGCGGGCGTTCGCGCAGAGGTGCAAGGGTCGTGCCCTCCACCGCAGATTGGCTGGCGGCGCGCTCACCTGGCCCGGCTGCGGGCGGGGCGGGACGGCGGAGAGTCTCGGCCTCCGGAGCAGCCTCCGCACTCGCGGCCGCACTGCGCCCGGCACATGGAGACGCCCCAAGGCCCGGAGGCCGCCCCCGAGCGCCGCGGGCCGCGCTGCCTGGCGTGGTCCACCTTCCGAGAGGAATCGAGGGCACTCCTGCTCCTGGCGGGCCCCGCGGTGAGTCCCGGCCGGCTGGGAGCCCAGTGTGTGGCCTTGTCACCCTTTGTGACTGGTGAGGTGGGCGGGCGAACGAGCGGGCTCCGCCGGCGTGGTGCACAGGACCGGGCGGGCGCGCGCTCCCGGAGGCGCCCTGCGCGGGGCACAGCTGGCCGGCGCCAGCTTCGGGAGCTCTGGGGACCTGCTCGCTTTAAGGGACTCGGCCCGCCTTCTCTGGGTGCGTGTACCGGCGAAGTAAGCAAGTTACCCGAACTGCAAAACTCTCAGGAACTTGGGAAACTAGTAGCCCTGGAGCTGGTGGGTCTAAATGATCTAGCGGCAGGGTGGGGAAAGGTGAATTCTCTGTCTTGAATTAAGAGCTCCAAAATATTTGTTATCTGGAGTCAACCTCTGCGGGAGGGAGCAAGTGGCGTCCTGTCCCACACGCTCCCCCTACCCCCCAATTGTGCTAAAAAAAAGTTTGGGTTGAGTTTTTGATTTTTGTTTTTAATTGTTTATTACTAGGTTAGGGCTCTTTTGAGTTCTCTTTTTAAAAGTAATATGGGTTTTAAAAAATCACAAGACTCACGAAAAATGTAAACCCATCCATGTTCACCTGCCAATTTGGGTGGTTTTCAAGTTAACAGAGTAAGAGCTATTATTATACAAGAAACTTGTGTGATTTTAGGGGGCAAATAAGTCTTTGGACCTGGGTAGAAATTCTACAACTGCAAAGCCTATGGCAGCAAGTGTGCCCTCCTGCCATGGTGACTGTGCTGTCTGTGGGGTCTTGTGATACCCACGGTGGTATGCACAGTGGCAAGAACAATGCCAGGGGCAATGCCATGAAATGAAAATCTGTCCCCCAGGAGGAATTTTGTGAATCTCTTGCAGAAGGGAAAGACCGGGGGCCCAGTTCCCTGCTTGGAGTTCCGCTCTGCTCATTCTTCCATAGCACGAGGGAAATAACTGTGCTTGGGCTCAGCACTCCCTCGAAGACTTGTGAGAAAGGTCTCTGCAAGGCTGTTATTGTTCTAATTGTACAAAAAAGAAAAAGAAAAAGAAACGAGGCAGCTTTCTGGGACCCAGCCCCTCCCAGGACAGGTCCTTTGTCTCTGCTGACTCCTGCAGTAACCTAGTCCCCTTGATGGAGGGGACCTTCCTGGTCTCCAGGGATGAGCACCGGACTGACATGTTAAGCCTTTGTGTTTGTATGTATATGTGTATATGTATATGTGTATAACTGTGTTAAGTACAAATGTCATATATATGTCATGTAGAAAAATAGGAAACCAAGATAAACAACAGAAAAGCTCTGAAATGTCACCACTGAGAGATCATTTGGAAATTTTCCTTCCAGTCTTTCGTATGTTTGTATGTGACTGCTTTATCCATGGGGTCCTGTGTAGTCTCTTAGGAATCGATATGGAGCCCCTGCTGGTCTCTATCTCTGTGACGTTTTCTCTCTCCCCAGGGGCAGGGAGAAGGGCAGGAGGAGATGGTCCCCTCCTGTCCCATACTCTGATCTCCAAGGCTCCACCATCCATTAGCTAGGATGCCTGGTCTGGATTTCCTCTTCGATCTCTCTCCCATTCCCTGTCTCCTCTCACATTAACACTGACCCATGAGTGTCCAAGAAGATTGACATGAAGGTGTTAGCACTTACCACTCTCCCACTGAGCTTTAAATGACCCCGGAAAGAGAGAATAACGCGTAACAAAGGCGAATGGGAGGTGAACAGTGCACACCTGAAGAGATGCCGTGGGGTCTGCCTTTTTTTTTTTTTAACTCATCTTTATTATTGAATGTATTACAGATGTTCAGCCTGCTTTTCACTTATCAGACAGAAAGCTGTAGCAAAATGTGTGTTTGTGAGGGTGGTAGTAGAAATTACCTAGCCTCAGGCATTTCGACCATGCTTTCTCTTGGTCACTAACACCTCATTGCCAGGCTGAATTGTCAGAATTCTGGACAATAATCCCAAGGACGGAATGCCTGTTCCCCACCTGCTTGGGCTGTGCACAGGGGGTGGAGGGAACGAGGTAGAATCGGTAGAATCGCCGGGGCCCAGACTGAGGGAGCTGGTTTCCACCTGTGGGGAGAAAGGACTACCTGGGAGCCGGAGAACCGGCCAGGGCTGCAGGCAGAAGACCAGGAAGGCTCCGCTGGGTGCGGAGCATCTGCAGAGACTGGCTTGACGGCTGTCAGAGGACACAGAGCAGGCAGGCTAATGGTTTGACCTTTATCTGGAAGGCAGTCTGGCCACATCTGAGCCAGTTCAGGCTGTCGAGACAGCAGTCCTTGAGATCAGGGAACAGACCAGCATGCAGGTTGGCTAATTCCCTGGGCACAACAGCATGCCCTGGGATGGGACAGTTCCGAAGGGTCTGGTCCTTCACTACATTTTGCTTGGGCGTGTATGGGGAAGAGGGGGATACGCAAGACAGATCCCTCAGCCCCTCAGGCATCAGAATTGTTGTTTTGAGATAGGCATCAGCTTTGCGAACAAGGTCCCCAGGTGACCCATCTGTGTGGGAATCACAACCTGTGACCAGCACCTCATAAAAGGCTTGGAACCAGGATCGAGAACAGTACTGGTTAGCAACCATGAACTCCAGGGTCCTCCCGGGACTGATGCTCAGGAAGAGCCTCTGTGTTGGAATCTGAGCATTGTGTTTGTGGCCTTTCATGTAGGTGACTTAACCACAGTCATTCTGAGAAGTGCATCCTTACATTGGTGGCAGTGGGAACGGTACCAGGTGTTAGACAGCCAGAGTCTGGTAGGACCTGGGTTCAGCAGCCTCGGTACTTGAGTTTTGGCTAGAAAAGAATTCAGAGCCAAGACTCAAACTATAAGAGAACATTTATTTAGAAAACTCACAGAGGTAGAAGAAGTAATTTGTAGAAGAGATGGGCTAAGGGAATGCATGAGAGAGGCAAAGGAAGGACCCTTGGAGCTTAGAAGTGAGCAAGGTAAAGGTGACATGCCTGGACGAGGGGGAGGGCAGGCAGGGCCGTACTCCCAGGATGGGGAGTGCACTGGGTCTTCCCACCTAAAAGCTTTTAAGGGTGGGAGTCTTAGGGGAGATCCCAGTGTTACCGGAAAGGGGACCTGGCCCTTGGTGGGTCTACCTAGGGCCAGCCAGTAGTGTGTGGGTTCTTGACTTTGTGCAGGAAAAATTTCACAACACAGGTGAATCTTAGAGCTGGGGACAATGATACAGGAAGGGCTGGGAAATGAACCTAGACAGGGCTGCTTTGGCTCACTACGAGGTCAGAGAAAAGGGGCCTTGGGGACAGGTTCAGGGGGGTTGCATGGGATGAAGTGCCACTGCCCATTGCTGCCCTGGTTGCAAGCCTCCTGGAGTCTCTTAGCATTTAGGAGGTACGTGCCTGGGGGTGGGGCGGGGGGAAAGGTGCAGGCGTGCTCCTGGGTCCTTGGTCTAGAGGGTTTTGGTTTTTTCTTTCATCCTCACCAGAGGATATGTTTCTATTGATTTTAGAGAAACAGGAAGGGAGGTAGAGAGAGAGAGAAACATTGATGTTGGTTGCCTGTGGTACACTCTGACCTGGGATTGAACCTGCAATCTAGGTATGTACGCTGACCGGGAATTGAACTGGCAGCCTTCTGGTGTACTGAACGATGCTCCAACCAACTGAGCTACCTGGCCAGGGTGTCTTGAGTGTTTTAAAGGCTGAGAGTTTAAGGAAGGTCTTTGGGAAAGGATCTCAATAGAATAGTCATCAGCTTCATGCTGATGCACCAAAATGAGATTTATTCCCCGACTCCATCCGTTCGTGGGTGTGGTGGCCCTGAGTGGAGTTCCGCTGTCTGTCTCCCCGAGTGGGGGATTTAAGTTACTTACCCTCTGGCTGGGGAGGAGAGTGCAAACCATTTACTCTTGAGTGTCCTTGGTCAGGGAAGATAGGATTTTGCAGTTTGCTAAATGGCTGTAAACTGCTTAACTGGTTAACTCTCCGTCCCAGTTTCCCTATTCCACTTGTCCTGGCTTACTAGCCTTTCTCAGAAACACACAGAAGTGTGTGTGAGTGACTCCTTTCGGGGTACTCCATTGCTCACGACATAGGATGTCACTAGATGATATGAATTTTTCAGCTCTAATGTAATCTTATGGGACCACCAGTGTATATTAGGTTCATCGTTGACCACGTTGACTGAAAAATAATATTGACTGGGTGTTTCATGGCCAAAAAGGATTTATTTGAGGAAAAAGAAGGTTGTGATAGAGCCAGGAAGGGGCCAGGAGCCTGAATGAGCTGATCAGAGGTGGCGCCCCCAGCAGCCGAGAGTGACTGAGGTCCCTGAGGCTCCAGGTCTCTGTTTTCTGTTCAGGAGTGCAGGAGCTACGGCCTCGGAGGGCGTCCGCAGGGTGGAGCCAAGGGTCGCCTTGGGGGAGATCCAGGGCCGAGGCCCTGCTTCAGGCTGTAGGTCTGCCCCTCCTACACGCACTCCTGGGCTCAGCCCTGGGGATTTACTTTCCGAGTTGTTTCCCGCTCGGCCTGCCTCCTGTGAGAAGCTGGGTGCTGAGGGGGCCTCACCATCTGCCTCCGCCGTCAGCCAGGCTGCGAGGGGCTCAGTCCCCGGGCCCACTGAGTCAGCCGAAGCCCTCCCCATGCCTGTAACTTCTGCCACATTGCTAGGGGTGTGCTTGTTACCTCCACAAGAGCCAGTGCCCTAAAGTCTAACCCATGCACCAGTTTGAAGAAGCCTTGAAATCTGGGTTCAATCTCCCTCCCTGCCCAAACTCTCTGTATACAAACACACTTGGGCACTATCTATGAAAACTTGAAATATGAATACTTTTGACAACAGTTAGACATCTAAGAATTACTCTTAACGGATATCTTCCCCCAGGTCTACAAAGAAATATGTGTAAGTGGGAAGTTCATTACTGTGGACACTCTGTGGATTTACTTAATAAATGAGGGTGCATTCGTGCAATGAGGAAAACCTGGCCGCGTGTCAGCCTCGCGCACACGCCCCGCCGTGCCCAAGGCGG